TATCTCGTTCATTGACCCCGTCCGGCTGTGACGCGAAACAGTGCACGCCGACGGGATCGAACGCTTCTGAGCTCGCTCGCTTCTCTCAAGTGCCGTCGTTTTACCTCGATGGAGTTGACCCGAGGAAGCTGTAACCGTTATCGCCGCTCGCTAAGAGCGAAAGTTCCAGCGGCCAAGTCCTTTCTTCTTCTTCTTGCTCTTCTCGCTTCATTTTTTTTTTCTCTGTTCGTTGTTGTCTTCGTAAGTAGGCTTTCGCGAAGGCGTTTATTTTTACTGCGCCCAGCTTCGGAACTAAACAGCGAACGCCAAGGTGTGTCAGCGTTATTTCGTGGAACGAAAAAAAGGTAGAATTGTCAGTCGCCGTTTGTAGTTATGTGCTAAATCTCAGCAGGTCTGTGCGACCGCATGCAGACTTGGTGTGCTCCCCCAAGTGCTGGCCTGATTTGCTCGATTTTTTTTCCCTTCTGTTGCCTCTTTTCATCTTTTATCCGTCCCCCTCAGTGCAGGTATCAAAGTTGACGGGAGTCTGGTTAAACTCCCTGCATTTCCTTGCTTCTCTCTCTCTCTCTCTTCACATGACACGAATCCACGAGGATATCCACGGGGATTTCTCAATGTGGAAATTTTCACAACTCAAGCAAAGGTAGTCTTAATCTGGGGATCGGGGCGGTTTCTCTACCGTTTGTGATGACCAGGATGCCGGAAGCGCGATGGGGAATTAGTCCACAACTCGAAGATTATAAACGCAGAGTATTACAGTCATTACTTTGGACAAATTTCAGGGAGGCCACAGCGAGGGCTCCGACCATTACGGTGGGCTACTGCTGACCAAAAAGACGCGTGTACGATGCCTGCCGCTGCAGCGGTTGCATTTACAGGGAGCCGATAGTTGTTGTGAATCAGTAGGTTACTTTCCAGAAACGATCGATTCGCTTGAATAAGGAGTTGACTGCAGTGGATAACTAGCGAACGATGCTTGAATGGTGTCGTGTTTGAGGCGTTCTAGGATAATGTGCCGTCTTTCATCTGACTTTTTTCTTGCGATGCGACTAAATGGTGTATGCGTCTTGAAGAGAGAATACAGTCAAAAGGTGTTATTAGTTAACGAGGAGTGTGGTGTAGCTTCGGTTGGCTACTTTGCTCGGCGGTGAGCTTTCACAGCTGTAGACAGGGATAGGCGTACACGAATATATGACCGCGTGCATTGGACAACGGGAGCAGGGCGTTGCTGTTGGTATTCCTTAAACATCCGTACATATTAAAACACTGAGTGGCGTGAGTATATGCTTCAGCGTGGAGTGTCTTCAGCCAGAACTGTCTTCGAACTTTTGCCCCGTTGATGGAGTTCTGAATGTTATATGTATTACGGTATGACATCTTGGAATACTGTACTGTGTATTTAGAAACGTACTAACACAGGACGAGACTCAACGCCGTGAGTGCGTGTGCTCGCGGGTCCTTTCTGGTGTACTTCTCAGGTATGCGCTAAAGTTACCATTCTATGTCTTCGCCCAACCTACCTACGCCTTGCGTAGCTGAGTCATCTAGGCACAACTCTCCGGGGAGCTTTTTCCCTTCTTGGAATCTCTCCAGTCTCATTTGCTGCGTTTTTTTTTTCCTGGGGCACGCGTGAAATGCCGCCTGGCGGTGTTACTCGGGAAATTCCTCGGGAACATTCAAACTTCACCTTAATTTAACCTCGGAGACCTAAACTCTAGCAAGTTTCATTCACGGAGTTACTGCGTTGCAAACGTGTGGATACGCGTGTGCGCGCAAGAACCGGCCCGGTATATCTCTGCCCAGCCCGGTAGCTAGCCGTGTAAAGGAATTTTCGGAGGGTGAGGGCTGCCGGGGTTGCGTGCGCATGTGTACGGCACAAGAACTGCTGCGGCACTCCGCGTTTTACGTAGCGGAATGAAGGAGAGAGGAGGGTTTTCTTTTGTTCGAAGAGGTGGAAAGGAACAATCCATCGGGTAACACTGCATCACCGGTGTGAGGAAGGGAGGGAGAGAAGGAGGAGAGAAAGAGGAGGGTTACGCACCCCGAACCTAACGAAACGCAAGGTGGTCGCCCCGAAGCTACGCGAGAAACCTTCTGAAGGGAGGAGGAGGAGGCTTGTCCCCTCTCTCGTCGTCCGTCATCTCGTGTGAGAGAAGGCTCACTACGAAGGGAGAGGACAAGTGGGTGAGGGACCGAGGAAGGAGAATGGCTGCCGGGCGCCGCCACCTCGGTGCGCAGATTGCTCGGTCATTGAGTCAGTAGTGCGCGCGCCGACGCGAACGCGAGCGGTGCTGGCGGAGAGGAGCGGGCCAACGCCTTGTAGGAAGGAGTCTGTGACGATCCAAGACCCGGGGAGTCACGCGGGCTGCGCCCCTTTCTCGTGTGTTGTGTGAGCGCGCGTTGCGTTTGTATGCGCTGCAGTGTGAACGCTGGTGTTTCGATTGTATAGAACGTTCGCGTTGACTCTTTCGCGGAGCGTGCGCCGTCATGGGGCCCGCGTCGGCCGAGGCGACATCGGTTCAAGTGCCGGGATCTCCGCCGCGCGTACTGTCCGGTTACGTGACTCTGCTTCTCGGCAAGGGAGACGTGTCGAAGACGTCCGACGTTGTGAGGCCTGAACGCGGGTCAGTCATACTGCTCCTCCTTCTGTGTTGCGGTTTTCCCCCTTTTTCTTCCCGATTTGCACGTTGAAAGTTTGTTAGATTTCCCGTTGTACTACTTCTTTTATTCCTTGATAAGTCGTCTGCTGACTCTGACGGACGTTTATGGCTATTACTGTTGAAACGCGCGTTACTATTTCTCGTTTTTGTGTTGTTTTCGTTTATTTCAAATGTTCAGTGGAAACTGAGTTACATCTCGCGTCTCAGGACATCCCTTATTTTCAGTAAGTCGTATGCTCTGCTTGGCGGGTATTTCTTGCTCACTATCAATGTTCGCTGAGTTCTTTTTTTTTTTGTAAAAATGCGCTGTTGTTTAGCGCGTGGTATTCATCGCTGTTGAGGTTTCGGTAGTGTTGTATGTTGGGATTTTGTTTGAAAACGCTGCGGGTGAAGGCTGCCCCTATTCATTGTCAAGACGAGAGTCGGAGTGCAATATTTACTTGGAAATCGACGGAAATGAACTTCAGGGTAGTGATAACGCATAATCTTTTGTTTTTTCATAGGAGGAACATTGATTGCTCGATCGCGATTCGGCGCAGAGTTGTACGTGCAAGTTTGCACGCGTTCGTTGTTTTGTCCTAACTTGAGCGCAAATACCGACCCCCCGTACGTGGCCTGTAACTTTGGCTTCTCTGTGACGCTACCAAGCTGTGCGCTGTAGTGGCTTTGCCGTTTGGCCCGTGGTATGGGTTTTTTGGGCCTTGCCTGAGTAACGCAATACTTTAAAAATATGTACATACATTATTTTTAATGTCGCAACTTTTATCTGATGTTAGCGAGTTTTTTACTGACTTCGCAAAGAAATCGCATGTAAGCGTGAAGAACCGTGTGATCTTAATCTGTCTCGTAGTCTGCGACGAAAATGCGGCATGTGGCAGTTGTCATAATATCACAAATCCAAAAGTTTTTTTTTGTCTGGTTTTATTGTGATGTTTCCATCACACTGCTTACGAACTTTATTTTTTCTGAGTGGCATAGTTGGCTTCACCCCCCCCCCCCCCCCATCATTTTATCATTGGGCAATGGGAAACGTCGCGAGTTCGTAACCAATAGAATCGTTCGCGCTGGACAAGTATCTCTGCATTGGCAGTCTTGGTTTTTTTTTTCTGTGCGGTTTGGTGGATAAAGCGCAGTAATAATGTTAATAGGCCAATAAGCATTATGGTGACGAGGTGACCACCGTTAACAGGAAATACTGAAACTACGAAAGAAAAACGAGGTAATTGTGGTGATTGACGTAGAGAAATAACTGAATTCTTATTAGAACAAATGCTACTTAGGATACCTCGAAGTTTACAGTGAAAGAGTTTGTGTCGAGTCGATTTCAATAGCCGAATAATGATGAGGTGAAAGGAATATAACTCAGTATTCGACCCCTAATCGTTTATTCGGTGCGCAAATCAAGATTGAGCCGTGTACGGCAAGGTGCGTTTAGATGACGTCCGAGAGATGGAACATGTCTTTCAAACACGCTGACACGTGCCACGAATGCCGTAATGTTGCCGCCTCAGGTGACTGCGCCGTGTGCTGTATATATAGCTTATATTAGCGTGTCCGGTATACGCATACGGAAGCGCGAGAGCGGGACTGCAAAACGCCGTGCTTTCGGATCATTTTCGAGCATCGTTCCGATGGAGGAGGCGCGAAAATCGGGCAGTAAGATGACACGATTTCCTGGGCTTCCCGCACGATGCTTTCGGTGATGTTACGTTGATTTTAAGTTTAGTAACGCCAGTGATCCGCATATAAAGCATGCTTCGGTATGAGCGACGTTTGTGTTTTGTAGGAAGAAAACCGTTCGACTATAAAATGCATAAAAGTCGGGCCTACTCAAAATGTTCTGGAAGAAAGAGCAGGAAAGACGCTTATGTGGACCAGAAGCGGTGCGTAGGCGCACCGCTTCTGGTCTTCATAATCCGGTCTTCATAATCTGGTCCATAATCTTCATAATCCAGTCTTCATAATGTGGTCCACATAACTGTTTTAAATATATTTAAGATAATTACATATATCAGTAACTTGATTAATGGATCGAATGCTGCTGGACGAAAACTGTGGAGGTTGGAACACTATTCAGATCGCGGCTTCGTTCGAAGGCTTGCGCAGTTGGAAAGTGCTGTATTTGCGGTAACTGCCCGCGATTCTCGCTATACGCGGCAGAGTATTGACGTCTACGATTAACTCTTCCGACTACGATTAACTACATAAATGTTTATTCGTAGCCTGGTATAGAAGTTTGCATAAAATTGTATTTGAAGTTGAGTTATTTTGGCTGTATAACGATACGTTTTATTTTGCACAAAGCGCTCATCATGTTTCCCCTTCTTTTGTATCGTGCAGGTTGGAGAGCTCTTCGAGCGGCGGCTGCCGGCTGGCGCAGGGTTCGAGCAGCGGCGCGGCCTGCGGGGGCGGCCATGGTTCGTCCTCTGCGGCCGCGGTGCGGCCCGTCGAGCTCGCCTTCCGGGGCCTGAGCGTCTCCTGCGGCTCCAAGGCTCTGCTCCAGGACGTCTCCGGCCTGGTGCGACCCGGAGAGATGCTCGCCGTCATGGGACCCTCCGGTGAGTTGCTGGACCGCATATACTTTACAGATAGGTTTCTCAGAGTAGGCGTTCTATCGGGCAGCTTTCCTTGAACATAAAAAAAATGGCGCCCGATTTCACCGCCGGTAATGTAAAGGAATGTGATGCTATTGCCAAGGGAGAAGGGAAAATGTTGGGAGGTTAACCAAGTTCTTCCGGTTTGGTACTCTGCTCGAGCAGAGCGGAAATTGGAGGAAAACAATAGAAGGGAAGAAGAAAAAAACGGGAAAATTGATACGCTCACATGCGTCGCAGCATCCATTGAATGCGCATAAACTAAATGTTTCAAACTGCCGACTGTAAGAGTATACACATTTCGTCTTCGACTGTGTTAGATGAAGTAGACCGCGATTCATGATGTTAATGAGGGAGTGCAAGTACTTGCTTGCGGGCACTATACGAGCCGATGGGGTTTTCATTCCGGTGAGGAGCGCTAATCAATGAGCCCAACCCTGCGATGACATGCAGGTCTTTGCCGCGGAGATCGTCAGTGGAATTTCGCGCCGCGCGAAATTCCACTGATGATCTCCGCCGGGTCAAAGACCCGTGGGGTCATGAAAAAGTGCGCGATCGCAGTAAGGACAGCCAAGCGACGTCCGCCGCCTCTTTCATTGTCCGTGCGTCAATTCGACTCTCCTAACACGACGCGTAGGCTTGCTGGTGATGGTAGCAGTGGTGATATCTGTCGCGTGAAGAAAAGCCCGGTGGTCCGCTGGGCGCGAAATCGTATATTAACGGTCCACACTGGGCAGCAGTCGAGGTGATGAAGCTGGCAAGAAAACGACATCGCGCCGCCCCACTGGCATCCCGCTATGGATTTCATTTACGGTAGGCACAGTTAGCGCAACGAGTATGATACGATTGGTGAAAATATGATTCAGTACAGCACGGTTGCCGCAACAGGTGCCTATACCGTGTTAGGCGGTTTACATTGTTGCGTCGTGTTCTCATACGAAGCGTGACTGCGACAACATGACGGTGCAAGTATACTGTGTCCGAAGATCGCGTCAGTTAAAAAACAGGAAAGTGCATGGTTAAGCTGACCGATTTAGTGTATAAGTAGACATAACAAAGGCAAAGTAAAGCAATTGTTACTACAATGTTATAGAATTGCTTGTAAGAAAGAAGAAAAAAAAACGTACATGGTTCTTGTCGGGCGTCTTCGTCTTGCTTTGCGCGTCATTTGATATGATGAGATTTCGATATTTATGAACTGTAGCTACGTGATTCTCAAAACACGCTGATGACGTACTTTGCCGTTTGTTATCGCCTAACGAGCTGCCTTTTTTTTTTATTGCTGACACTGGACGGTCACGAAAAGTGACCTGGACCAACCATGCTTTATAGTTCGTTTTCTTTTTTTCATCTAATCCTACGTCTCCGTAAGATTGTCGTCGTTAAACTGACAACGATATCACGATTTTTTTTTCCCTAAACTCTGCAAGAATCCTTGTCGAAGCAGTTTTTTTTTTTTCGATCGTCAATTCCCCTTTATTGCAGTACGAAGTCCCTTAACGAAACTTCAACGCCGTATTACGTTACGTAGTGTCCGTGTTTCGATTCGCGCCACCGGCGGAGAAGAGCAGAAGCTTCCCCCCAGTCTCGCCTTGAATTCTGTCGCGATTCAGATTGGAAATTCTCGTAACTTGTATTTTTTTTTCCTTTTCCGCCCAAGAGAACAGCGTAATTTTTCTTCATTGTTATCTTCTCTCCTCTAACCTCGATATTGCTCAGCCCGGGAGAACACATCCAGCGTTTCGCGCAGCGGAATGCCGTTCCGGAGAAAATTGGATTTCTGTACAGCCAATCTGTCGCGCTTTTGCCGTGCTCGGCTCAGTAAATGTGGATGGAGGCTTACCCTTGAAATCCCCGCGGTACGTTTCGTCGGATCGACCGATGTTTGCTGGTTACCGACGTGGACCCGTTGTGTACGTGTTAAGCAATGCTGTTGTCGGATTGCCCTTTAAACGCGCCTCCCTTCCACTGTCTTCCATCTGACCTTTGAGTGAAAGAAGGCCAGGCAGCAGTGTAGTCTAAAAACCTCGTCAAGTTGTGACCTTGCTCCGTGGTCACAACGCACAGTGTGCAATGGTCAGCTGTGGATTGTTCCGTGCTTTCTTTTGTGCAGCAATTGTTCTCATATATATATATATATATATATATATATATATATATATATATATCTATATATATATATATATATATATATATATATATCCAAAGCTGGCGCGTAATTTGACATCTCTTCTTCTCAGTGAACAACAGAACGATTCTTTCTTTAGGTGTTCTGATTTGAACTCTGGTAGTGTCTGGTAACCTTGCAGCAGTCCTTTTGAAAACCGCACTGTTGCTGATCGGGTGCGGAAGTTACTTCAACACGGGATATAAGAGATTTAGTTAACATCAGTTTGTCATTTTTATTTAATTGAAGCGTTATTTACACAATTTTGTTGCTGTTAGCTTTAACTCTTGTTCATGACTAAATAAAAATATACTAGAACGCAAGGTGTACCTTACGACAATGGCATGTAGCGCATTAGACATTAGATCATCGAGATACTGGACAAGTCGGAGGAATAAATGAAAGGTGGTCTTGATGACTGTTCGGTATTTGCAAGTTCGCCCGGATTACGTACGTTCTGCTACTACTGCGGCTACGATTCATTGTATAATTCAATTAACTGTGTTTTTTTTTTCTTGACAATTCAAGAAGGGGTGATGACTAAATGTTTGTGTGCCTGACAAAAGTCCAAGCCCCTACATACGCTTGCACTTCAGTCAACGATGAAGATCTTTCGTCAGAGCATATTGCTCATATGGTTTGAGCAGGCGTATAGCCAAGGCAAAATATCCATTTAGACTGCATACGTCTACCCGCGTGTCGCGGCTTCAAATCCCGGCTGCGGCGGCTGCATTTCCGATGGAGGCGGAAACGTTGTAGACCCGTGTTCTTTGATTTGGGTGCACGTTAAAGAACCCCAGGTGGTCGAAATTTCCGGAGCCCTCCACTACGGCGTCTCTCATAATGATATGATGGTTTTGGGGCGTTAAACCCCACATATCAATCAATCAATCAATCAATCAGACTGCATACGTCTATGCACAATGCCTCTCCCTCATTTTGGTCTCTTTCTATAAACATATTAAGAAAATGCTTCGTTGATGTTTAATCAACTTAGAATACCATAAGAGCGCAATGACTGCGGCCTCACAAACATAGGTGCAAACTTCAGAAACATGCACAGTTAGTTTTATTTTCGATTTGGTCGACAGCCTTCGACTCAGCTCTCAGTCACGACGATAGTTATAGCGCGAGAACAAAACGACGACACAGAGACAAGAAGGACACGAAAGACACGAGTGGTCACTTCAAGGTTGAGGCGTAGTAAAATATTTTCTAGGTGCTCACGTACGCGAAATACGGAAAGGTCAAAACCGCCCTCTCCCTGCTCGGAACACAACCGGGTTTTCCGTTGATTCACGCGGTGGGGGTGGGTCCACAAGTAGCGGAATGGGCCGCCGAAAAACCCCGTTGCCACCCTTTTTTCCTTTGACCACCGCTTCTTGGCGACAATTCTACTACTATACGCCTACTACCGCGTTACTACGAGGTCGCTGGGTCAGGAGGTTCGTTTCGAACTGTGAAAGGGCGGAAGCCGTGTACGGCGGTCAGGGGATTCGACGAAAAGAAAGTGCAAACAGCATCTTTGAAATGAAAAAGTGAAAGCGGCGACGAGGTCTTTCGCTGCGGAGGAGAAAGCTGGAAAGCAAGCTCTTGGGACCAGAGAAAAAAAAAAAAAAAGCGGGTTCCCCCGCTATGCGACCGCTCATCTGTGTCCTTCTCGAAGGAGATGGGGGAGGGGGAACTGTCTCATAATGCTTCTGCGGCGTGCGCTCTTCTCGACCAACGAGGGGGCCGCAGGTGCGCGCACGCGCTCACAATCGTATCTGCCGCGAAGGGCGCAATGTTCTCGTTCCGTACCGACGACAGGCCGGCTTCGCGGGTGACGTGGTGCGTGCCCCATTGTATTCTCTCTCTCTCTCTCTCCTTGTGGCTTTGGTCGCCAGTGCTTGCTCGCTAGCTGGTGCGTCCGTGCATAATAGCCGACCTACTCTTCCTCCTTGAGTGCGGCATGCGCGCTGTCCAGACGCGCCCTTTCTTGGGCAGAGCTTGCGCGCCGCGGGAGATGGCGTCGACGGAGGAGGCAATCGCTTCTCCTGCGCGCCGCGTGTTCTGCGGGAAAGAAGCCTTTTCTTAGGATGCCGCCGCCGGCTTCCCGCGGTCTGGGTCGAGATGGACGGGCCCCGGTGATTTAGGGTTGGATCCTGGGGCAGTGTGTGGGGGGGGGGGGGGTGAAAGCCTAAGGGAAGTAGAGAGGGTGGAGGTCTATTGCTGGTCACCTAGCACTCTTGCTAGCAGGAAAGAAAAAAAAAAGTGTGGTGACGAATCATCGGGACAACTACGGTGTTCTCCGTGACGCGCAAACACACGTGCAAGCCTCTTGTTGTGTGTAGAGCCAATGATGAAATCCAGAATACCATAGTACGAGTGCCAGAAGCAGCAACCAAACGTTTGCCGTGAGTGCCTGTTTGACTGATATTGACCCCCCCCCCCCTTCTTTTCTTAGGTAAAGGTAGAGTTGAACCACCGCTTCCTTTCTTTCCCTGTCGCTCTTTTCTGTAGCGAAAACCGTTTTCTCCGAAAAAGACCCGCTAGGTTGCGCCGGAGGACTCCATTCAGCTAGTGAGCGCCGCCTGGTGGCAGTGACGAGCAGGCGGCCCTTTCTTCCGGTTCAGAAGCTATGCCGCACTTGGACGCGGCCTTGGCAGCTGTGTGAGCTCTGAAGAAAGAACTAGCACGGTTGAAAGAGCTTTCGCGTAGCACAGTGCGCGTGCTTTGAATGGCGGACTTGTAACTTTCCCTTTTCTGCCTCGCGGGTCGTTTACCTCTTTGGAGAGATGTTCAAGGACATTTGGTT